CACCACACAGGCGTGCAGCCATCGCCTTCTCCAGCTCAGTACGTTTCGCCACAGTACCGAGGGAGAGAATGTTAAATGTACGCCGATTTACAGCAGGAGTGTAATACATAGATTTAAGAAAATATATGTACAGTTTGGTCCCCACCAATTAGTCACACTCAGCTCCACGCAGTACACGTGTCATGCGCACTTCACGCATATCACGCTGACGTACGATGACATAGTCGAGCAGGTGAGCGTGACCACTCCGTGGGTGCGTCCAAGTTGCTATATCACTCGCACTCAGTGCAAACCGAGTGTTCGTGATCGTCAGGCCGTGAGTGGCACACAGTGAGAGCAGCCTGCCACCGTTCGCATTCGCGGAACCAATGCCATGCGGACCGATAACATCTGTCAACGCTGATGCATCACGCCCAACGCGCGCGTTGAAATCACCCAGCAGAAATAGTCGGTCGCTCCTCGGCACAGACCGTATCACGGAGGATAGCTCAGTGTAGAACTGATCACGCGTGTCATCAGGATAACACATGGTCGGACCGTACGTGCTCATAAAAGTAGCAAACTTACCTCTTCCGAGTCGTAGGCGAACAGTCATCAGTCGCGCGCTGATGCCCGTTGGTTCACCCACCAGCTGGCCATTCAGGCGATCGGATATTGCAAATCACGTGGTGCTGAGGCGGCGTTCCCCACCCAATAGAATGTGTAGCCAGCACCTGCTTCATGTAACTTACCTTGCTCAGCGAGCCGAGTTTCACTGAGCGCCGCAATATCGATGTGGTAGCGCGCCAGCTCCATCGCGACCAGTGCAGTGCGTCGCTCCGGGCGCTCGCTGGAGTTCCGGTCCAGTAGTGTGCGCACGTTCCAGCACCCGCTGCTGAGTGCTTTGCGCGCAGGCATACGATTGCATTGGTGGGCAATCGCACGCGAGGTGGTCGTTGTGCTTCGGAGGTTTGCTTGAGGGACTCCACCCGGAGTCTTTGGCTCAATAGCCTGACCCACAAGGCAGTGGGTGATTTGGAGGTTTGCTTGAGGGACTCCGCACACAGACTTTGGCTCAATAGTCTGACCCACCAAGCAGTGGGGAGCAGATCCAGCTCGGGAATGTGATTGCAGAGACAGATTGGGATCTGCTTGACGGCCGTCACACGCAGTCTTTGAGGTTCTGGAACGTTTTATATATGCTTTGCGACCGTAGTAGGATACGCACCTGCGACCACGGCCAGACGCAGGTGAGTTTTTGGCGGGTTTGCACCAATTTGACCAGGGGCTGCCTGGCTTGAGGCGGGCAGTAGCAAACCATTGAACACCCGAAGGTGCTCTCCCACCGACAGAGACAATGCGTGGCGCTCGTGCTCTACGCCAATCGAGCTGTGAGCTTATAACTCGTAGACCTGTTGTCTCCCATGGCTAGGTTTTACAGCCACTTCCTAACCTCGGAAGAGGATGAACTAGGATACTGGTAGGGCGCCCACTCCTGACAAGAGAACGACTCGGGTCCTCATCCAAAGCCCTCGATTAAATGAACACCGGGTGGAGTCCCTCAAACAAACCTCCGAAGCACAATGACCATCTCGCTTGCGATTGCCCACCAATGCAATCGTATGCCTGCGCGCAAAGCATTCAGCAGCGGGTGCTGGAACGTGCGCACACTACTGGACCGGAACTCCAGTGAGCACCCCGAGCGACGCATTGCATTGGTGGCGATGGAGCTGGTGCGTTACCACATCGATATTGCGGCGCTCAGTGAAACTCGGCTCGCTGAGCAAGGTAAGTTGTATGAAGCAGGTGCTGGCTACACATCCTACTGGGAGGGAAACGCCGTCTCAGCACCACGTGATCATGGGGTCGGGTTTGCACTATATATATATATATATATATATATATATATATATATATATATTCTTCGAAAGTATAAGCATTGGGAAATTGCAAACAGATGTGCGTTGAGGCAGGACGCCCGACAACAACAAAAATTGGAAGAGGTTGCAGCGTATGAAGTGCACGTGAATGTCTGTACATGCGATATATCTGAATATATATGTATCCAAGCTTGCCAACCTTGGCTACAACGTGACCACGAGGAACATCAAGGAGCTGTGCAGGCTCTCTTACTACCATATTTTGGAGGTATTTGTACTTTGCATCAGATATTATCGACGCATACCCGGAGATCTCATATTGCTGTACGGAATATTGGCTGACCCCAGTTGTATCTCAATACGCACACTTGTTCCCTGTGCAATCAGAATCTTGAATCACTACGGCCGAATCCACTAACGAAAGCAGAGCAAAGGACGGACACGCTCTGGACACTACTCTAAACAATATGACAGATAAAGCACTGGCAGAATGACCTTGATATTGATCCACCGATGTCGCTCATCCAATCATTTGCAAGCTGCGTGCGTGGCGTAACAGACATGACTGGAAGTTGCGGTAGACGCTACAACATTACCCCCTCCCTAGTTGAGCGCGTCAGCATGAGTGACAATGGAACTGCTAGGTCCACTGCTATGGAGATCGTTTCCGAACATGGACTCTGCGTTCGGTTGAAGTACTGAGTAGTTGCCTGGCATTAACTCCGGCGGCCGTCCGCAAACCCAAACGTTCCTGGTCCTAAGGTCCGAGTAGTTCTGATTGGACGAGCTAATGCTGGCTGCCCTTTACGTGTCTGCCTTTCCTTTAGCCGAACTAACTTTCCGAGACACAATGGTCTGGATTGCTTCTCGTATGCGGAATGATAACGTCGGCGACGCTCCAGTTGGTGGGTATCGCAGCTTTTCGTAGCCGAAATAGCTGCGTTTAACTTCGTGAGTAGCTTTCTGCCAAACGTTAAATCCTCTGTCATGCGATCAGTCACTCTGTGGTGCGACCTTCTGTGGGTAAACAGAGCGTCGACTACAGCATATTCACAATGTATACCGGACAAACGTGCTGCCTGTGTACTTTCCTTTAGTGCGCGGTTTGTGCGCTCAATCCTTCCGTTGGCAGCTGAATGGAAGGGGACAGTTCGTACGTGTTTCACATCGTGAAGTCGTAGGAAATGTCGGAACTCGTAGTTTGTAAATTGCGGTCAGTTGTCCGTCACAATTTCTTTGGGAATCCCAAATCTAAGAAACAGATGCTTCAGTCACCTTATAACGGTTGAAGTATTCACATCGCCACAAAGGTGAATCTCAGACCACTTAATGTAAAGGCACGTGGTCACTAAGCAGTTTCTCGCGTGCTGCCATGCAGAATGGAATGGTCTGTTGATATCAATCGCCTTCTTCGACCAAGGTTTCATTGGATAAACGATCGGTTGGATGGGTGCATCGATTGGCTTAGATCTCTTGTCGGCCTTCTGACATGCATCGTAAGACTGGACAAGCCTCTGCCACTTTAGTCATGTTCGCCTACCAAAAGTGTTCTTGTAGGCGTCGCTTCGTTCGTACGATACCCGGATGTCTCTCATGTGCACGTTGGATAATCTTGCCGTTAGTCTCTGTGGAGCCACGATTCTCGATCTTCGCATAAGGCGTCCATCAATGACCACTAAGTCGTGTGGTAAAATTAAAAGACGCCCATAATTCACCACTGGGCTTCGTGTAGCGACGTCAATCTTGAGAGAGATAGCGGAAAACGGCTTGTACATTTGGGTCACTTTAATTAGCTTCTTGGAGCTCTAGCTTAGTTACGGCGGAAAGCTCACTTGAATGTGAAGTGGAAACCATGACTTTCTCTTCTTCGTCCTCATTCTTATCTGAATCGTCCAATGAAAGACGCGATAAGCTATCTGCCATATGGTTTTTGGAGCTAGGGTGGAATGTGTATGGAAAATCATAATTCAATAAAAGCGCATACCAGCGGTTAATCCGCAGTGGATTGTGACCGTTGGTTTCTCGACTAAGGAGGATAGTTAGAGCAGCGTGATCTTCGCGCAATGTAAACCTCCGAGCAAACAGGAATAGGTGCCATTTATCATAGGCCCAGACACAGGCGAGTGCCTTCTTTTCACCGGCGGCGTATGCAACCTCTGTAGGGGTAATTTTCTAGAAGCATATGCAATCACTTTTTCCTCTCCGTTCAGCATCTGCCACAGGACCGCTCCTAAACCGATGTTTGACGCATCCGTCGCGATAAACATAGGACAGTTTTCATCGAAAATGGCTAGCATTGGTGTAGAGACGAGGCGTCTTTTAATTTCTTCAAAGGTAGACTGCTGTTCAGAGCTCCAGCCGAAGGTGGCATTTTCCTTTGTCAGCATTCTTAAGGGCTCCGTTAGAGTAGTGAAATCGGGCAAGTAGCGTAAGTCGTACGATCATAGACCAAGAAAAATGGTTAAACTCAGATGTATTCTTCAGTATGGAGGCTTTTGTGATAGCCAGAGTATTAGCGGCGCATGGTCGGATTCCACCAGATAATAAGAAGTACCCAAGGAGTTCGATTTCAGTAGCAAATAAATGTACACTTTTTAAGAGTAAGCCGAAGATCTAAGCTCTCCAACCGGTGTACTGCAGCGCGTTGCCTTGTGTCTTGCTCTTCCCTTGAAGGCCCGAAAACGCAAATCTCATCCATGTTAACGACTTGTCCCAGTAGAACTGCTGGTGACTGATGCATTAACTTCTGCCAAGTTGCGGGGGTAGAGCTGAGCGCCATTGGCAAAACTTTTTACCGAAACAAACTGCTCGATGTTAGAAAAGCCGTTAGTGGCCTCGATTCCGGTGTCAATGGCAAGTGGAAGAAAGCCTTCGTCAGGTCTAAGTGTGAGACAAATCCTGTGCCAGTTATCTTGACTAGTAACTCATCTACTGTGGCAAGGACGAAATTTGGACGATAATCTGACTATTCAACGCCTTCAAGTCATCATATAGGTGCACAGTACCGTCCTTTAAAACCGTGACCATGGGATGCACCCATTCGGAACAGTTAATTGGCTCTACCAGATCGTTGGCTTTCTCTACTATCGCACGTTTCTCCAACGGAATAGGACGTGCTTGTGATATAGAAAACGGCTAAACATCCTGTTTAAGGCATATGCGATGAGCAGTAGATGGAATCAGACCAATCGTTTCGGTAAATAATTTGGGATATAAACCTTTAAGCACGGATGCACTGAGTGCCATGATCCGCATTCTATTGATAGATGGCGTTATGTTAATAGCGACCATAGCATTTCGCCTTAGCAAGGTTGGGCTGTCTTCAGATTCCATGTACACAGCAACGTCGGATGCGACCGAGTTTAGACTAATTTGCGTCACTATATATTCACGGATGCACAAAGGGCCATTGGTGTGGGCGTCAAATTTATACGAAGTGGAATGCAGTGGATTGTCATGTAAGTACTTATCATAAAGACTAAACGGAATGATTGTTATTGGTGATGCAGAATCTAATTCCATCGCAACTGACGCAGTGGTGTGTGAGCCATGGAGCATAACTGTACGAATGGCAGGGGAACAGAGCTTGAACTCCATCAAGAAAGTTTGCCGATTGTCTAGCTGATGAAGTTTTCTAACCACAAAATATTTTCCGTAGCAGACGCAGAAGGAGACTCGGTCGATGGTTGTTCAACTAGTGCTATGCGGTGGGAACGACAACACCAGGCGAAATGGCTCCGCTTAGCACAGTTGTTGCAATCGACTGTACGGGCCGGACACGTTTGGCAATCTGCCTTGTGTCGAGAACTTCCACATCGAAAGCATAAAACAGCCACATTCTGGGATGGCGTAGAATTCGTGCTCCGAAGCTTGCTGACAATGAGTGATCTTTTGGTGCTGAACAAACTTCACTGTTCAAGGGCAGTTTTTTTCAGTCCAGCGATCTCTATGGCACTATCACAGGAATGCTTCGAGGGGTCTTCCAAAAGTAGTGTTTCCCGTGTGCGATGATCCGTGATGCCGGAAATTAATTGTTGTGTCAGCATAACCCCTTCAACTCTATTCTTTGGAATGCTGGAGTAATCGTATGTTTTTACCGCACAGATCAAGTGGGAAACAACGTGTTCCAGGAGGTCTGAATCCTCTTGTCTCAAATGGCAGAATTTGTACCGTTCAGTAATGACATTAGGTCGGGTGCCTCTAGATTCATCCAATACAGCTAACACCTTTGTTAACGTGTCCACTTTTTGTAATTCCAGTGCATCAAAGTAGGGCTGGCCCTCGTTTTCCAATAGGTGATGGAGAAATTTAAACTTTTAGGTCCCATTTTAAGTATCACTTGACGGTAGTAAGTCAAAGTACTTTGTAAAATATGTTTTCCATTGATCCCAGTCGCTCTCAGTAGGTTTGACACTTGGATCACACCAGAATGCGTCCGGAGTGGGAAGATGAAATGCCATTGTAGCAATTCGCAGCCACAACGCCACTGTTGTAGCTCAATACGCACACTAGGTCCCTGCGCAATCAGGGTCTTGAATCACTACTGCCAAATCCACTAACGAAAGCAGAACAAGGGACGCACACACTCTGGACACTATTCAAAAAAGTGTGGCAGATAAGGCCGGAATGACCTTGATATTGATCCATCGATGACGCTCATCCAATCATTTGCAGGCTGTGTCCGTGGCGTGACAGACATGAATAGAAGTTGCGGTAGACGCTACAACAGCCCCAATCTCATATCTCATCATTTTTGAAGCCTTGCCACAACACCAACCGCTTTGGTAACCAACTGATTGAAAATACAGTTATCTAGAATACCGACGGGATTACTTCACCCTCCGGGTTTGCCAACGTTGGAAGTCCTTCCCAAACTCAGTGGTTTCCTCCTTAAGTAACGATTGAATACTGTTTTTAGCTCCCATCAGGCTCTTGCATGAACTGTGATATTGCTGAATGTCTTCATGATTCCCACTTACCAGATTTCGATGTCGCAGATAGAAATAAGGAAAGCAGTACATGAATGAGCATTTTCAGTTTCCCGCAAAATACATCGACTGTAAACGCTGTCTACACGGTTTACACACTAATGTTAAATTTCTATTTCCTTCTGTCTTTATGTAGTGGCGAATTTAAAGCGGAGGCTGATGATATCTCTTGAGCATGCAGTTTTCGACTCAAGCATCCTACGGGACCTGGTAAGCGTTTGTTTTCTTAAGTGTGAGAAATCACTGCTCATTTTCAATTGCTCACTAATTTCCAACACGGTTGGACAGGACAGGATAAAGTGGCGCTCCTACGGGTTCTAATACTAATGTCTCTGGTTAGAAACCATACAGGGAAGAACAAGGCGTTGGTTTCTGACTGCGCGTAGTTGTCCGAAGCTATAAGCTAACTGCGTGAAGCGACTATCAGGATATCGCTGCGGTATGACCCCTCTGTTTTAACATGGGAAAATCTTCCAGCTAACAACAAAAGCTTCCATTAAAACCAACGCAGTGATTCCGCGTCACTTCTTGGGAATAACATTAATGAAATTGTTATGTGGAATTTTGAAGATAGCGTTGTGGAATTTTAGCACAAGTTCCGCCTTTATTTTCCTTACACTGCTCAGATCCAATGGATTTGTGTGGTAGAATAGTAAGGCCATACCAGGTTAAAGAGTGGTATAGAAAATCGTAACCTCCAGAGCATGGCTTTGTACTGAGCCAGTCGGTAGAATCGCGGAATTTACATGCTCCGGCCATACTACATCATCTGCTCACAGGCGGCTGGCGACACGGACTTCAGTGGTAGTCACTGAGACGATGTGTGAAAGCGAGCTTCAGTGAACGTAAGAAATAAGCGATCCGCGGACAGAATGTTGTAGTGTTTCTCATACTTCGTCAGTCCCAAATATCATGCAAATTTCCGCTACGAACCAACTTCTGAGGCTGGGTGCAATCGATCTGTCACAATGTAGCTGCACTCACCCTCCCGGTTCTGGGACGAGTGTCCTGCCTACAAACCGCATGATTTCGCCAAAGACCAATGAACGCTAATGCTTGACCTTTAGCAAAGAGAAACTCCCTGAATACCTGCCCAATTTGTATACTGGCTCTGGATCATATTGACACTTCACTAGATGAGCGTAGAAGATTTTCCAGCAGGGGCGTAGCAACTAGTTTTGTCGCCCCGGGCCGTTGCAAAATTTTCTCTCTAACCGATGTAGAATAGATGCGTGTTGGCCACACCATCGGCTCAGGGGAAAGTACACATTAGTTTTCGATGAAATGGATGGTCATTTGGGGCACTGAGGTAAATGTGGTGAATGTGTAGCAGTCTGGAGATTCCCCGGTTTGCTTGTGTAAAATTCTAACCAAAATTCTTTAATTGTACACTTAGGCAACCGGTGTGGTTTGTTGAACTGCTTGCTGAGTTCGAATGCTTTACTTGCTCATCGCCATTTTTGCTTGGCGCTCGCTTCGGTTGCAACGCGCGACTGCTCTGTGTGCTGTGCTTGATCCGTTCCCCTAGCTAGAGCGTCCACGGTGTCGTTCATTTATAGCTAGCTAACAGGGAATCTTTTGCTGAACCAATAAAAGTTTCCCTGCAACTCGATCCGTCTTCTCGAATCGCTCTCTGGGCTCCCGGAATAGGCAACCCTCTAAATTGGTGACCCCGGATCCGGAACAATCTCAACGCCGGATATTTCGAACTTTTCTCCGGTGAGCTCGTTCCATTTATTTTTCATATTTTCCGGTTTTATTTTTGCATACGGTAGCCTATTTTTTGCGTCATATTTTTCAAGCCATGGAATCTGTAGACCATAAGGTAGAGTCTCTACTAAGCGCTGTAACTCTCTCAGTTCCACCTTTTTGGGACATGGATCCTGTTTTGTGGTTCGCTCTTCTTGAGGCCGAGTTTTATAACCACAGAATCACTTCCGACTACGCGAAGTATTGCAAGCTCCTGTCCTATCTCCCCAAGGAGATATCAATGCAGGTTCGTGACGTCATCATTTCTCAGACCGATAACCGCTATGAGGCTCTGAAGGAGGCCACGATTAAGCGTGTTATGCCCTCTGAGAAAGTTCGCCTGCAGCAGCTTTTCAGGGATCTGCAGCTGGGCGACAAACTGCCCTCAACCCTGCTACGGGAGATGCAGCAACTCCTTGGTTCATCAACCATGGACGAGACTTTACTTCGCGAACTATGGCTACAGCGGCTACCGGAAAACACACAAGCGATTCTCGCTACAGTGAGCTCCGTTTCGCTCACTCAACTAGCAGACTTAGCGGATCGAGTTATTGAACGATCACAGCCACAGGCCAACGCCAGCAAGGTCCATGCCGTCGCGTCCCAGGGCACTTCTATCACTGGCTTACAGTCAACCATAGAAGCCCTGCAAGCACAAGTTGCGACACTTAGTCGCCAGGTGCAACAGCTTACTATGACCCGTCGTCGTCCTAGCCGCTCAAAATCGCCCTCCAAACGTTCTCGGTCTAGCAACAGGCAAGTTAGCTGTTGGTATCATCAGCGCTTTGGTACCGCAGCTCATAAATGTGTAAAGCCTTGCAACTTCGCCGAGAAGCAGGGAAAACTTCGCGGCCGGTCGGTAACGGCGACGGACGCGACCGGCCAACACCAAAGTCGCCTCATCCGTGTTAGGGATTTAACTTCCGGCATCGAGTTTCTAGTCGACACTGGTGCCGAAGTTAGCGTCATACCCCGTAGCTCAGATGAGGTCGTCTCACCATCGCCGACCAAGCTGCGTGCCGCCAATGGCACACCAATCGCAACTTTCGGCGAAAAGCTGCTAACGCTCAACTTAGGCCTCCGGCGAACCTTTCGCTGGCCTTTCATAATCGCTGCTGTGCCTTTCGCCATCATAGGCATAGACTTTCTTCAACGCTTCGACCTCATCGTCGACGCTAAACGGAAGAAGCTTATCGATTCTAGGACACAGCTCAGTGTTATCGGGACTAGCGCCAACGTGGCTGCTATCACTCCCATTCGTGTCCTACCTCAAGCTTCACAGTCTTTTCTAGAACTTTTCAGCAAGCACCCTAAACTCGTTCGCGTCCTGAACGAGTTGCCTCCTGTGACGTCAAACGTCACGCATCACATTTGCACTAAGGGCCCACCTGTTTCGGCCCGCCCTCGCCGACTAGCCCCGGACAAGCTCAAAGCTGCGAAGGCGGAATTCGAGCAAATGCTCGAACTGGGAATCATCCGCCCGTCTAAAAGTCCATGGGCATCACCATTACACATGGTGCCGAAGAAGTCCGGTGACTGGCGCCCTTGTGGTGACTACAGGGCACTTAACAAAGTTACCGTCCCGGATAAATACCCTATTCCGCACATGCACGACTTGACCTCAGCTCTAGCTGGCAAGTCTATCTTCAGCAAAGTCGACTTAGTTCGTGCCTACCATCAGATACCTGTGGCGCCAGACGACATTGCTAAAACTGCAGTCATCACGCCATTCGGCCTATTCGAGTACCTCAGAATGCCTTTCGGCCTCAGCAACGCTGCCCAAACTTTTCAGCGTTTCATTCATGAGGTAACGCGAGGACTCGAAGGCGTTTATCCTTATCTAGATGACATTCTTATCGC